ATTAAAAAGAACTAAAAGAGTAAAATTACCAACGAGAAAATCATGCATCTATATACTTCTTCCTTACTAATTGTATATTAGTGATTAGTATTAATATATAATATTACTCCGTACTATATAATACTAAAAGAAATTAAAAATTTTGGGGCCCCATAAATTTGGGGGCCCTGTTCTGGATAACCTATTAAACCCCCTAAAAAACGGCCCTGGACTCTACGAGGACTAGTTCTTTTACCACCTTGACGCCTAGAGTTGGCTTTTGTGTGTGTGTATTAAGCCTTGTGGTGGACCCTTCCTTCAACCCTCGCCATGAGGGTATGCCAATGTGCATCAGGCTGCGTTTAAGCCTTTTATGGATGTGCTAGTTGACGTCAAGGGCTGATGGATTTTGCTTGATTGATTTTATTTTAATACCTTTATTAGTTCATTTATGTTAAGAAGTGTTTTTCTAGGATTTCCCTTTCCTTGTTAAGTGGTTTAATGCATTTAAGCTCTCTTTTAAGAGAGAGATTTATGTTAATAAAATATCCAAGAAACAGTTATGAAGAAATTAAGGAGAAGGAAAACTCCCCAAATTCCAAAGGAGAAGGAAAACACCTCAAATTTCCATGGACCTTTCGTTTATCTTTTTTATTTGTTCCTCTTACGCAAAGAACCCCGTCATATACCATTTTTGGTTCCATTTGGGCTCTCCAACTTACAAATATTTTATGTTAATAGAATGCTATCCAATAGAGAATCAGCTAGACGTTCTAGAAGAAGAAAGCAAGTCCATCAGACAGAATTGGAGACACAGGTATCGTGACTTATGATGCTTTAACTCAGTTGGTGCTCTTTGACTAGGCTTTCAATTGTTAAACAATATTTTTCCCTAGGTTTCTCAATTGAGAGTAGAAAACTCCTCATTGTTGAAGCGTTTGGCTGACATAAGCCAAAAACATAATGATGCTGCAGTTGACAATCGAATCCTGAAAGCAGATGTTGAGACACTAAGAGCAAAGGTAAGAAGTGGTTTATTTTATGCATCAGTAGTACCCAAGAAGGTAAGTAAAGTTAGAAACCACAGGTTCAATCATTTTCATTATGTATTACTATACATCCCTTTTTCAATGAATACAAGTTAGCTGAACTTGGAATTTTTGAAGTCCTCTTAGCTTCCCTACCAATCCTACCATTTATATATAAGTGCACATGTTCTAGAGAGTCAGTGTCAATTCAAAACTTAGAAAATGCTAGGGAATGAAAGTAGAGAGGAAATATAGAATAAAATTTGAAGGGAAGAAAATGTGAGGAAGATAAGCCTTTTTCCTAACTCAATTTTATTTTAGAATTTTATCAATTCATGACCTGAAAGATAGGTTCACTATTAATAAAGGACATGAAAGATATGTTCATTATCAATAAGAGATCTGAAAGATAAAATGTGTTGATAGTTGATGCAGTGCCCAAATGATTGAAAACTACCAATCTAAGACCTAAAATACCATGAATTTTATTTTATTTTTTATTTTAAAAAATTTAAATGTTATATGATCTTATTAAACTAATAAACTTTTGTGAAGAAAAAATCATCAAACATTAACAATGAAATTGATAAAAAAATGAAATAAATCAAAATCTATGATAGTTTAGCAGTTTAGGTCTTTGATTGATAGTTCTCAATCATTTTGGCTCTATATTGACACACTTTATCTTTTAGGTCTCTTATTGACAGTGGACCTGTCTTTAAGATCATGGATTGATAAATTCCATTTTTCTGTAAACTTATTTATTTATATTATACGGAGTATTATGTAAAGACTGAAATCTAAATTGATGTTGAAATTTCAAAAACATTAATCATATTTGATTTTTCTTTGCAATTTTTGTAGTAAAGCTACACAAAATTAACTTTGCATAACCTTTTTTTTTCCTTCCCCTAACATTTTACGATATCCAAATATGCCCTTAGTGTTTGAATTGTAAAAGTCCTTATATACTCTCATTTTGCTTAGCACTTGGTACAAACATATATCGCGGTGTTTAAGAATGAAGATATAAATGATGGATTAGTGAAGCAAGAGTTACTAGAATCTTCATATAGTATACAAGGAATTATATAACAAGTTATTCACTACATGGTGGCCACACATACTGATTAACTTTACAAACATCCTCTATTATATCCCGAGTGCTTCATTAAAAACCTGTATAGTAACAGGCTCGGGCCGGGCTTTTTCCAAAATTTCTGCTCATTAATGTGGGTGGGCTCTGCCCGGCCGGCGGCCGCAATAAACAGCCACCTCACATGTTCATACCCCATCCATAAGAGCGGGCTGGAGCGCCCACCCGACTGTCTGGCCCAGGAATACCTTGATTTTTTTAGAATTATCAAAACAATTTAGAACACTCTTAAAATAACATCACAACATTTTAAATTTTGTTAATGTGTTGATTAATGTTAATTTGTCTCTCACTACATACTGAAAAAATGTTTACCCAAAAATATTCATTCAAAACAATAACTTTAATTTAAAATTCAAACACAAAGTATTAGTTTTAAATGTATGAATAAATGTTAAAATTGGGTTGGGTAATAGTTAAAAGCTAAAAACTAAAAGTTAAACTTTGTGGGCCATAAATATGTTTAAACATAGTTGGCCACATGTTATATATACGTCTATGTGTGTGTGTGTGTGTGTTGTACTGCAGCCCGAGACAGCCTACACCCCATACCAAGTCCGCCCATATATTTTTGTGCGCCCAGACTGGTGGGTAAATATATATGTCCGAAGTCCAAACAGCCCTGTTTGTAAGGGCTGGCTGGGCGGGACGATTGAGCCGACCCTTTTCTGTACAGGTCTGCTCACCATATTTTGCTTCTGTAGCCAAACATGGCATGCCATGTTTTATTTGTTGATAAGAGTGGGGAAGCTATCTCTTGATGATCCATTGAAGTTTACTGTGCAAGCGAGTGAATTTAAGCATCTGTATTGGCTTCTAGCCCTCTATGTAACAGATAAATCTTGGATTTTGTTTCGGGCCTTGCAGTACTCCAGTTCACTTACATGGACTTGGGTGTTCTATGAATAATCTTTTTTTCAACACTTACAAATAATGTTTTGTAAAAAAGTTATTGAAGCACTTAGCACTCAGCAAAACCTGTTTTCATAACCTGTGTTTTCAAACAACAAATTATGTTTTCAAATCGCGACCCGAACATGATCTATAAACATCCACCTTAGACCATTGTTGCAATATAGCTTTAGAGATGCTATTCATCTTTATTTTTCACTCCTCCACTTGATAAGAGAACATAGAGAGCTTAGGGCTCGTTCTCTTTGCTAGACAATAATGTGATCTTTGATTTTTGTTTGTTTTGATATGGTTGGGTATGGTGTGATCCAGTCTTACTTGGTCTTATTTTTATGGTGTGGTGCAACCTGATTTGAATGTTTCTGATGTTTAATTTTCTTGTCGGAATCTGGTTTGACATGAATGTTTCTGTTGTCAGTTATGATATGGTCCGAGGGTTATGTTTTCTAGTCAATTTTGACGGGCTCTGATTTGATTCAATCGGGAATCTGTAATAAGGTAAAAGAGTAAGGTGAACAAATATAGCACCTTAAATTTATGCTCTTCTCCATGCAGGTGAAGATGGCGGAGGAAACCGTTAAAAGAGTAACCGGGATGAATCCATTACTCCAAGCAATGTCTGAGATATCCCTTGTGAGCTTTCCATCCTTTGCCGATAGCCCTTCGGACGCTTCAACTGATGCTGCTTCAGCTGTACATATGCAAGGTTGTGATGATCTTGACTACTACCAAGCCCTTTCTCATATTTCCTCTCCCCATGGATCTGGAGGCTCCAGTGGATTGCTGAACATCCATCCAAATGATAATGTGCAGCAGGGCTTGGAATGCCCACACGAGTGCATCCGCGGAGTTGTGGGAAATTCGTTGCAGGGAAAGCAATAATGTGTAAAGTGAGATTTAAATATTTACTTTTTCCAATTAGAGGCATTCACTATCTGGAATGAAAAATATCTATTGTGCCTCGAACATTTCATTTTCAGCGAATGATTAGCTAATTCCTTCAGATAGTATGTCTAGATTCCCTCACATAGTATGTGTGGTTGCACTCTTTTATTTACCTTTCATACCAGAGTGGTGTCACAAAAATGACATTGGAAAGTGATATGCCATGGCATGTTTGGTACATTAGAACTATTTGTCCTTGCTTATTCCATAATTTGAAACATTGGAAAACTTCCCTGGAATATAAACTTCCCCTAGGTATACTCCTAGCAAAAATTCTCTTTGTACCCATTTTTGTACCCACCCCCTATTTTGCCTGTGCACAGGCAACTCGTTAAGAAGAAGGCAACACTTTTCTTCCATTTGCCTGTGTACAGACAAATGTACAAAAGTGTGTACAAAAGTGGGTACAACAAGAACTCTTTAATCCCTTAACCATTCACCCTCTTCATTCTTACGGACCAAACCGTGGAATTTTCAAATTCTTTTTCCTCATACAGTAATTTCATTTTTCTTGTTTTCCTCTCTGTGTATCAAACGTGCCACTGAACCAAGTAAAGTCCAAGTGATTATGGTATAGTACCATCTAGTTTGATTTTGTATTAGGTGTTTTGATTGATATACACTATAATAAATGTAAAATAATGGTATGTTAAGTTTCTGTGATATGACACTTAAAGTTTGAGCTAGTTCGCTATCATTTACTCCATATGTTATTTCGAAGGGTAGCTGCTTGATGATACACTATATTTACACCTCTGCTTTTATTACAATGGACTAATATTAAGAGTACAAATAAAAAATGTGGCTGGAATTACCGGTGGCAAACAGCACAACATCTGCCAGCAAATGTTCACCATGGTCCGTATGTACTCTGATGCCATCCTTTATTTTCACTAGCTGAGTAATCATGCATTTCAATTCAGTAGTAAAGTATGAATGCAGTGATGAGACAACAATACTCTAAGATATTTTCTACTAAATAAATAGATAGTTAATAGGAAAGCTATGAACAATTAGATATTGGGGATTTCTATTGCCTTAACAAAAGAAAAATAAAACCATGTCACTAATTAAGATTTTTAATACCTCTTTAAGACTTGTAAAATGATACATTTTAATAAAGTTTTAAATACAATATTCCTAAACTTTGAGCATAGAGGGAATTCCTGATATGAATATATGTAGTATTAGCACACTCCGATGGAAGCATTCATAAATTGAATATTTGAATTTCTATCGTTGTGTAGTTTACTAGTTTATGCCCAAAAACATAGCCAATCAATTTAAGGGGCACTTCTCACCTGATCAAGGAGCGAATTAGGGGTGGACTCGGGTCGGGCGGCCCGCCCGGAACCGGCCCGACCCGGTCACTGTTTGAACCGGCCCGAACCGCCGGCCTGGCCAGGGACCGGTCCGGGTAGGCCCGACCCACTGGGGTTCCGGGCCGGACTCGGGCCCCTCAAAAGGTGAACCGGCCCGGCCGGTTCGGGCCCGGTCCGGGCCAATTTATTTATTTTTCTTTTTTTTTTTTGAATTTTTTTTAAGTTTTTGGGTTGGGCTGGGTATTTTGGGCCATTTGAGGTGGTTTGGGGGTGAGGGGGGAGGGTTGGGGGTTAATTAGGAAAAGCCAAAAAAAATTAAATTGAACCGAGGCCCGGCCGGGCCCGAACCGGCCCGAGTCCACCCCTAGAGCGAATCAATTCTCCAATACTCGGCTTGAGCAATTTCCGAATATTGTCGCTTATTGTCAAGCTTTGAAAATTCCTTCTGACCAATTGAAAAATGTTGATTTTCCGGTCAAGAATGACCGTCTCGTTCTTCGTCTTGTGCGTGGTCTGCCAGCACACTATGACACTGTCGCCTCTTTCATTCAACAGACGGTTCTGCTTCCCGAGTTTTCTAAAGCACGATCGATGTTTTTGCTTGAAGAGGCTCAGAAGAATCAACAACATGGTAATACAGACGCTGCCATGGTCCATGTTGGGCCTCGTCCACCCCCACCTCCTCGTCCGGATAATCGTGTTACCCGTCCTCGTGGCCGGAACCCCTCTCGTGGCGGCAGAAACCGGGCTCTTACTTGCCCCGAGGGTCCGCGACATGCGTTTGATACATTTGCCCAACCCGGACAATGGCCGTTTCCACCATGGTCATACTGGCCGACGGCTCCTTGGGCTCCTCCTCCATGCCCATATCCGGCAGTACCATGGAATGGGGCTCCTCCTTCTCCTTGTGCCTCTGTCAGCATTCTTGGGCCGGCTCCTCACCAAGCACATTTAGGAGGGCCGTCTACCACTCCTACTGACATCACGGCGGCTATCCATACCATGCCACTCTCTCAGCCGGATCCAAATTGGTATATGGATACGGGCGCCACGACTCACATGACGTCCTCTTCAGGTACTCTTACGCCCTATTTTAATACTTGTATTAATGCACGCATCCTGGTTGGCAATGGTCATTCTATTCCAGTTTTGGGTCATGGCCATACCACCCTTTCCTCATATACTCCCCCTCTATACTTAAATAATGTTCTCCATGCACCTCAATTAATTAAGAATCTTGTTTTTGTGCGTCAATTCACTTCTGATAATAATGTATCCGTTAAATTTGACCCGTTTGGTTTTTCTGTGAAGGATCTCCACTCGGGGGGGGGGGGGGGGGGGGGGGGCAGTTCTGAGGTGTAACAGTTCAGGTCATTTATATCCCGTCCTGCCATTATCTACTTCACGCCACCAGTCACCATCCGCTATGCTTATGTTACCAGACGAGATCTGGCATAATCGGCTCGGTCATCCAGGGGATCCAGATTTTAATTTTCTTAGGGTCAATAATACTATCCCTTGTAATAAATTGTCCTCGTCTGTTTGTAATTCGTGTCAATTAGGAAAACATATTAAATTACCTTTTCCATCATCACTGTCTGTTACATTTCAACCATTTGATTTAATACATAGTGATTTATGGACATCTCCTGTTTTAAGTTCTTTTGGCCATCATTATTATGTCTTGTTCTTGGATGATTACTCAAAAATCTTATGGGTTTATCCACTTCAGCACAAATCTGAAACTTTTTTTGTATTTGTTAAATTCATACACACTCAGTTTGAACGCCATATTAAAGTATTTCAGTGTGACAATGACACTGAATTTAATAACTCATCATTTCGAAAATTTGGAGATGATCATGACATTCATTTTCGTTTTTCTTGCCCATACACTTCCCCCCAAAATGGCAAAGCAGAACGGACCATACGCACTCTAAATAATATGGCTCACACACTTCTTCTTCATGCCCACCTTCCCCCAAAGCTCTGGCCTCACGCCATTCAAATGGACAACTACTTCTTCATGCCCACCTTCCCTCAAAACTCTGGCCTCACGCCATTCAAATGGACAACTACCTATACAATATTCTCCCCGCCCATCCATCCACTATCACACTCCTACCACCCTTCTATGCCACAAAATCCCTACCTACAATCATCTCCGTGTTTTTGGATGCCTTTGCTATCCTCACACTCCCTACCCCAATCATAACAAACTCCTAAGCCGCTCCACTCCGTGCATTTTTTTGGGGTATCCAACTAATCACAAAGGATACAAATGTTTGGATCTTGCTACTCATAAAATTATCATCTCACGTCATGTAACATTTAATGAGTCCAATTTTCCATTGCAAACCCCTTCGGCCCCACCCACAAACACTGATGACCTATCGCACCTTTCCTCTTGGGTTCAAGACGTGTTTGCATGGCCATCACCTATGCCCATGCACACTTCGTCTCACGTCACTCCACCCACTGGTCAACCCTCTAGTCCACCCTCTCCGCATCACGCACAAACACCCCCCAGTCCTCCATCCTCTCCGCCTCACGCACAACCACCCCACGTACCAGTACGTCGCTCCCCTTCCCCGTCAAACAGTCAACCTGCCCGTCACCCAATGATAACTCGTGCCCGGGCAGGGATCTCCAAACCAAAACACATGCTAAGTCTATCGGCCTCACATACTCCCCCCTTGCCTAAATCACCCATAGTTGCTCTTAATGATCCTCATTGGAAAACAACCATGGACGCCGAATTTAGTGCACTTATTAAAAATAGTACGTGGGAGTTGGTTCCCCGTCCCCATAATATTAATATTATCCGTTGCATGTGGCTTTTTAAGCATAAATTCAGGTCGGATGGATCGCTTGAGCGCCACAAAGCTCGCCTAGTCGTCAATGGTAATTCTCAACAAGTTGGGGTTGACTGCGATGAAACCTTTAGCTCCGTGGTCAAACCGGCAACCATCTGCACTGTTCTCAGCCTAGCTATTTCTCACTCTTGGCCTTTACATCAGTTGGACGTAAAGAACACTTTCCTTCACGGACAATTGGAGGAAACTATTTTTACATGCATCAACCACTTGGGTACCGGGATGTTAATCATCCTAATCATGTATCTCATCTCCTCAAATCACTATACGACCTGAAGCAGGCTCCTCGTGCGTGGTATCACCGGTTTGCATCTTACGTGGGCATTCTTGGTTTCCATCATAGCAAGTGTGATCATTCGCTCTTCATTTTCCATCAGAACAACGACACCGCGTACATCTTACTGAACGTTGATGATATCATACTTACGGCTTCTTCTGATCACCTCCGACGTTCCATCATGTCTCACCTCAGTGACGAGTTTGCCATGACCGATCTCGGCCCATTATCTTATTTCTTAGGTGTCTCGGTCAAACGAGATTCCAACGGGCTCTTCCTGTCTCAACAGTCCTACGCCGCGGACATTATATCACGAGCAGGGATGACTGCATGTAATTCCGTGGCCACTCCAGTAGATACGAATTCCAAGCTTAGTGCTAATTCTGGCCCACCCGTGGAAGACTCATCTCTTTATCGGAGTCTCACCGGTGCTCTTCAATATCTTACTTTCACACGACCGGATATCTCCAATGCCGTTCAACAAATTTGCTTATTCATGCATGATCCCCGTGCTCCACATCTACACGCTCTGAAGCGCATCATTTGGTATCTCCACGGTACATCACATTTTGGTATTACACTACGTTCGTCCGCCGTCACCTCTCTCACGGCCTACACCGATGCCGATTGGGGTGGCTACCCCGACACCCGTCGTTCAACGTCCGGCTATTGTGTATTCTTAGGCGACAATTTGTTGTCATGGTCTTCCAAACGTCAACCCACAATCTTGTTAGAACCGGGGGATAAAATTGGTAAAATATAAGGGTACAAATATGGCTGGACCGGATATCACTTCTAGTCACGTATTAAATACGCTTTTCTAAAAGTTTACTATCTACCCTTATCACAGTAACCGGGTTACAAGATAGAACTTTTGGGATAAAAAGAAAGTGTGCAGTGTATTTTGGTTACTAACAAAATAACACTAAACAAGTTATTTGTATATAAAGTGATCTAAACACTTAATTACTAATACTGCAAATAAGAGTAATAGAATAAAGCAAGTAAAGAAGTTTGACAAATGCTTTTTTTTCGTCTATCTCCATTCGAGCATGATCCTCATATTTATAAGTAATTTGGTGTCATACGAGAAAACGGTTGTTAAGCATCTTTCAAGAGAAAGATATCATCTTTTCTAAGGAACACAAACATTTGTTTAGTAACTGATTTTTCATTTTAATATGAAACTTCCAACACCGTACAAATGTTGCGGTAGCAACATTCAATTTTAAAGAGAAAACTCTCAGATAGGCCCTCGTACTTTAACAAATTTCTCAATTAAGCCCTCGCACTTAGTAATCACTCAATGAAGTCCATCAACTAACCAAAATTGCGCAATCAGGCTTTTTAGCTGGTGGGATGCCGGTTTGCCTGTTACCCGCTGAGCTGGACGCCCACGTGTCCCTCCCTTACCCGGCCTTTTAAATGATGTGGCTAAACCACTTATAAACTAACTAACTAAAGCCTAAATCTTAAAAGCTAAAAATTTTAAAAGCTTAAAAGCCTAAATGATGTGGCCTTTAAAACTTAAAAAAACTAAAGCTCAGACCTAGCCTTCTCTCTTTCCCCTCCTTCGTTCGAGCGTGTATCTGGTTCGCAAGTATGTCGTCTTCATCGTCGGCAACGGTTGTCAAAGAACGAAGCCGCACTATGGACTACGAGCCTGCTGTTTATTGTTGGTGTGGATTGAAAGCTCCTCTATGCATTGGACGAGAGAGTGGGAGAACTTTCTATGGGTGTCAAAAGTGGAAGGTAAGTGTATGATTCGGGTGTGTGGTTTTGATTGACACTGTTTTTCCTTGTTCATTGCCTGCGAATGTGATATAATTCAGGTAGGGAGCTGCGGTTTTTTCTTATGGAAGAAAGACTTCGGAATCAAAGAAATTACTCCTACACATAAGATGGAAATTGTGAGGGCTGAAGACAAGAGTGAAAGCGTAGAAGAATTGAAGAAATTGGTTGAAGCACTGTCGAGGCAGATGTCACATGTACAGACTGAGCTTGGGTCTGTGAAAACTGTGATTGACAATGAAGCAAGGGTTGACAAAAAGAGTAGAAAGTTGTATGGCTTAGCTATGATTGTACTTCTGGGTTTAGTATGGAGTATGTATTTGAGGATGTAACCTTACTCTGTGATGGCAGTGGTGATAATTGTATTAGGCCTGTGAACTGTTATTTATTTTCTTAGTTATGTATCTTGTAATGGGTTGTTATGTGCTTGCAATTGCTTTGAATGGGTTGTAATGCCACATTGTTTGTTGAATTAATGAATCTGAACTTCCTTCTTCTGACTTCCAACTTTCACAATGTAATTCATTCATCCTAATGCAGCTATTCTGATTGAATGAGTCTGACCTTGTTTGTATTGGCACATTCATGACATTCATTCACACAGTAATGCTATTCCCACTTGTGGATGTAAACTTGGGTAAACATAAGGCACAATTAAGTGAAAGGTTGTCATTGTATGAGTCCTTAACAGGAAAACAATTGGGTTTGAAATAATTGGTCACTAATCTTTGGAGTGCAATAAGTGTAAGAATTGGTTCACATGCAGCTCCTTAAATTGGTATTCTGAGGTTCCATTTGCTGTTATGAGTGACCTATAAGTCATTATAGGTTCAATGTACCAAAAAACAATTAAGCATGCTACTTCAGAAATGAACTTCATACCAAAGTCCAAAACCCCTTAAACCTGCTAGTTTGTAAACTCACAAAGAACCAAAAAGACCATAACCCTCCTAATTCAGGTAAGCATTACCAATACACCATAAACCTGCTATATATGAAACTTTGTTGGTACCTAATATGTGGTACCTAATAGACCTTATTACACCTGGTTTATATGACACTCAGTTCGGACCAATATACCAGAAACCACCCAATTCACATAATCACTTGATACCAAGATTTCTTTGTGAACAAGATTTCTTATTGTGGCCATCCACACCACATACAGAGCATTTCATGATCCTTCCTTTTCTTGGTAGGTGGGTCCCTGATGGTGCACGCGGTTCACTCTCTTCCCTCACTCTTTTCTTCTTAGGGCGCCCACTCATTTTCTTTGGTAT